TATATATATATGTATATATATATATATATATATATATATATATATATATATATATTTGTAATAAGGCTGTAATAATGAACTTAGTGTCACTCAGATAAGCCGGATGTACCTGAGTGATTCCTCCATCTTGCTCATCTTCCTCTTGCTGTTGGCTCGCTCCTTTTCCAGCTCGGCCTGAAGCGTTTGCAGCTGTGACAGGACAGCAGAAGTGTCAATCACTCAACACGCTTTATCAGCTCCCGCCCTTCAGCATAACTAAACAGAGCTGATGTAATGTTCTAAAGGTCAGAGGTCAGCCGTGAGCAGCCGCTGGCAGACGGCTGGCCTGCAGGTGTATACGGCCTCTGCTTTGCAGATGTGCCCTTGACAGAGGTCCGCCTCACCGTCCCGCTTTATGACCAAACCGGCCCTTTGAAGGTGAGGTGGCAGGCAGCAGCCAGGTGTCTGAGACTGATCTTAAAACTTATCTTCACCTGATTGTGTCAGCCCAATTATTAAAGCAGCCTTTTTATGACAGTTCTGAAGCTTTGAAGACTTTTGAAAGGGAGCCGCTTGGCAGCAGCTCCTATAAGTCTCACAATTAGCAGGGCTATCAGGTCGGACTATGACTGTCCAGTTATGCTCCCCTTTCATTTGGTAAAACACTTGGGACCCTCATGAGGCTGTGCTTTAACAAACACCAACTGGTCTCTGCTTCTACCTGGCATTTCTGGTGATCCGATCACAAGTGATCAGTGCTAAATACAGGTGTAAAGAGGGTTTAAAATGTTTCTTGATCAGATCACTGAAATTAAATACAGGGGTAGAAAAAAATGCATGTGACCACATCACATTTTTAGTGGAAACACTAAGCGCCCTGAAAGTGTGAAGCTCCGCCTACTCGCCATCCACAAGTGTTCAAAGGATACACATTTGAAATGCATGTTAATAATATGAATGGTATTGCATTTCACCTGACCATCTGTGATCGGATCACTGAAAACACTGAAAATCTTAATACCAGGTGGAAACAGGGCCTAAATTTTACAGCCACATCATCAAAGTGAACTAGGGCAATTGGGAGCAGAGCAAATGCTTTTATGTCTACCTAAAAACCTAAACCTGCTTAAACTGATGCTTACGTTTATTACAATTGCCTCAATATAATAACTAGCACTGTCAATGTTTAACATTTGGTATTATTAAGCATAAAAAATGCAATGCAAAAATGTGTAATTGTAAATGTATAAACCACAATCACTGAGAGCGGGCACAGAATGGGTGTGTATGTCTGTATGTTTCTTTATAATCAGTGACCACTTGCTTTGATATTTTGTTGTATAATTGCATGTCTAAGCATTTTGGCAACTGCATAAAATTATTAAAAACATAAATATAATATTGTTTTTGTGAATAAATGAATTACCTTTTTGTCAGTGATATTTTGTAGGTCTGTTATCTCTTGCTGCATCTTATTCTCTTGGTCCTGAATAAAAAAATCAAAACAAGGTTTTCATGCAACCCATTTTACTTCTGTAATATGGCATCTTTCTGATTGAAACAGGTTTTCAATAAAAAAAATAAAAAAAAAAATAAAAAGATTTTATACATGGGGAATTCATTTAATGTTGAAAAATAACTCTATGTGACAAGTGGCTGGATGGGAGGGGTTGAAAAATCAGAGGGCCTGATGATAAGGAAAGCAACACAAGCTATGCATTGATAAAAAGATCATAAAGACAAATATTTGTTTTCTCTGGAATAACATGCACTGGTAAATTGTTCATAATAAGACCAGGGTCAATTTTGATTCCATGTTGACTTTATGGCCCGTTCACTTGCATGATTTGCATGACAAAGCAAATAGTTATTCATTTTCATTAAGAGTTGGAACGCAAATCTGATTTGAACTTTTAACATTTTGCAAATGAGCAGTGACGTGATGGAGTGACTATCAATGGAACTGAAGTCAGTGGACTGGCATTCTGCAAAATACGGCAGCCAGATGTTTGTTCCTGCATTTCAAGTTGTGAATCCCACCAATGACGAGGGCAAACAGCAGTATGAACACTCTACAAACAAGGATAAAGTGACTGACGGCCTCACTGTGAGTATGGAAGGGTGTAAAAAGTGTGAACAACTGACCCTGAGCTGTTTCTGTCTCCTATTTTCAGTTTCCTGTATTTGCTGTTTGAGATGAATCACAGTCTGCTCCAAATCTTCGATCACCTCCGATGCCTGACAACAAAGCAAACTACATTCAAAACATGCTATAAAACTGTAGGATTACAGACACTCTCTGATATCAAACACACTGGTATTAGCTCAGTTCCAAAACCTAGTAGACTGCTTACCTACACAGTATTTCCATCACAAACATCCACCTGATGCAAAGACCCTTCAGTAGAGAGCTGTATTAAGTACATTTTAGAAAGGTTTAAAGAGGTCATATGATGCGATTTCAAGTTTTCCTTTCTCTTTGGAGTGTTACAAGCCGTTCGTGAATAGATAAGATCCCTAATGTTGCAAAGACTAAAGTCTCAAACCCAAAGAGATATTCTTTATAAAAGCTAAGACTCGTCCACGCCCTCCTAAAACGCCTAATTTAAACATGCCCCCACATGTCTACGTCACAATGTGGGAAGATTTGCATAACAAAGCCCAAATGTTCACGCAAAGAAAGGCGGCGTAACTTTATTGTTACTGTCACCGCCGCCACCATGTTGTGAAGACGCTGTGTGTTTTGTTGCTGTACAGTATGTGGAAAATAATGTGTTTTTTTAACCTTAAACCGCATAAGCACATTTCATTACACCAAATACACAAAATAATGTTCTTTTTAGCAACATCATATGACCCCTTTAAGTATATTTCCAGGTCCATTTATGTAGTTAAGTATACTAAATGTAGTGTATTAGTAGTATACATATAAGTATACTATTTCAATTCTTTTTGGGACTGAACTGTAACGGTAGTAGACTTTGACTACATAATTATTTTACATCACTAGTTTATACGTTTTTCTTTTCTACTGCAGCTACATGAGCAGTAGAACTTCTAGATATACTGATAGTTTGCTAGCTACGTACTTCTAGCTTCTAGCTAGAAGCTAGAAGGGAATAAATGAGTAAAGCATGCGTAGGTATGAGCGGTGAGAAAAGATGCCTTGGCTGCAGAGAGGGCATGCTCCTGCTGGAAGTGGCTCATGTTAGCGTTATGTCTGGCCTGAAGTTTCTGCAGCGCGTCTTCATGCTGGTCTCTCATCTGCTCCATCTCCCTCTGCAGGGATACGCTCCTAAAGCATACAAACAACTTTTTATTAGAGTGATAAAAATCACAAAACACAATAGCTCCAATCTCTCGACTCCATCGCACTGAATTAATTTTACTGAGTTAACTGCAATGTATTGTGCGACTGCATTATATGTTCAGGATATATTTAACACTGCCTTCAAGTCAGGTGTGTTTATGATGCCGTACATCTGTTTTGTAGCAGAGCTATGATTTTACATCAAATCTCTGCACCTGTGATCAGTTGTATCTGAGCTTGTCGGGATGATCAGGTGGTTTTCTTGTACCTGTGGTTGGCCTCTTGAAGCTCAGCGCTGATGGAGGCGATATGAATCTCTAACTCGGCTTTCTCCTGTGTGACCTTCTGCCGGAGCAGGTTCCCATTCTCCACCTCCACTGAGAGCTGCTTCACCCGAGTCTCCAGCTCATGCAACATCCGCTCCTAGAAGAACCAAACAGAAAAAGAAAGATAAGAGAAAAAGACAGAGGAAGTTCTGTAGAATGGTTTATTCAAATAGCTCATAAAGCACTGGATTTTTTATTTTTTTTAATCTTTCCTTGACAAAGAAAATAATTTTCCGTCAGTGCTTCTCCAGCCATTTGATCATCGTTCTGAATCTGACTCGGACGTAGTCTTTGAGAAAAAAAAAAGTGATTTCTCAGCTTTCTGTTCAAAATGTTGCTTTTTGAAACTATGAAACTTACCCACATTCAATAAAATGGGTTGTTTTGTTTAAAAACAGAGGCTCTGTTCTTTCATGGTATTGTATTTATACAACAAAATATTCTGGGGGCTATGAAATGTTGTGAAAATGATCAAAAACGCTGGCACTAGCTAGCAACTTAAAAAAAGAAAATGCTGGTAGGGAAAGAGTTAATGTATAGTGCTTTATACAGTAAGACTGTTCAAAGTAGTGTTAATGTTGCAAAGCTGATTCAAATCAGTTCAGTGTCAATGTTGCAAAGTTTATCAGTTAAAAACAAACTCAAAACCCAAACTTTTGAGTGGTAGTGTAGTGTGTCATTGTTTCCACAAAAATATTAAGCAGCAAAAACATCAACACTGATAATAATCAATGTTTCTTGAGCAGCAAATCAGCATATTAGAATAGTATATTAGCATATTCACAGGAATACATTACATTTTTAAATATATTCAAATTGAAAACAGCTATATTAAATTGTAATAACATTTCACAGCATTACTGTTTTTACTGTATTTTTGGTCAAATACATACAACCTTGCTGAGCATAAGAGACTTATTTCAAAAACATTTAAATATGCTAATTATTTCAAACTTTTGACCGGTAGCTCACAGCTTTTTCAAAAGAACAGCTTAAGTGTAGTTGAACTACTTTAAATTATGAGTAGCTTGTATCTTGACAAACTACAGCTTCACAGTAGCTTCCCAACACTGATTTCCACTACAAAGAGACAGGCAGTGAAGATCTCCTGAATGGGGAATTCTTCTGTAGATGTGATAGTGAAAGTTGAACAGTTCAGTAACAGTGAGCTTAAACAGCTTTCTAACCACTTTCATGGCCACCACACCATCCTCATCCACCTTCAAAGATCATCTGAGATCATCTTTCAAACAGCCTAAAATCTGATGCACCTGTGGGCCTCTGTTCTTTAGCACAACCCAGAGCATGCTGGGACTGAATATGAAAAAGGCATGTGCAGCAAAGCATGGATCAGCCCTCAAAGAACATCTAGGATGGTCTTCATTTGAAAATGAGACAACCATATCTGACGAAATACAGGAAGGGGAAAACTTTCCATGGGACAGCAAGAGCTGTTAAACCAAAACCAGACAGCCTGCCTGAGCAGAGTGCAGACACACACACACACACACACACAGACACACACGCTCATGTCTCATCGTTAATGGAGGCCACTGTGCCGTGCGTGGCGGATGGAATGCAGGCTGATATGAATGATGACAGATTATTGATTGAAGATACACGGCTCAGATGATGAAAGTGGCCAGTGTTGAAAAGTACAGCTTTCTGATGGCAATGTCAGTGTCAAAACGCTGGAAAATAGGCCTTTGTTAACTCCCAGTGTGAAATGTGGCATGATCTGAAAGAGTTGGGCATGTGCTATGACGCACGCTGGTAATTAATACACTGACCCTGATAGCACATGCCAACATGTAAAAGCGTCTGCTCACAGCCTGAGCTATTCAACAACTCATCCTACTGTTAAAAACACTTCCTACTTACCAACATGAAGACTAATAGAGTCAGGGTTTAGTTAAGAGTTAGTTTCATATTAATTATGTATAATTTACCGTTATTACTATGGTAACTACATATGTAACAAGGACACTGTAAAACAAAGTGTTACCAATAATTATACATTTTAAAGATCTGGCTTATTACTTTATATCAACAAAAATATTAGCTGCTGGGTAAAATATGTCACATGATTTGGGGTAAGCTGTGTGTAGTAATTTGATCTGTCAAATGAATTCTCTTCTTATTTCATGAGGCTGAGAAAAAAAAAACATTTAAGTAAACATTTTAAACCTATTTAAGTAATCACAATCACACATCTCAACTGATCAGCCATAATTACTGAATTACTCAGAATTGTTATTGAGTGTCAGTCAGAAACAACTGTTGATGTAAATGTGATTGTGATAACACCCTCTTACTGACAAACTCTGCGCATGAGACGGGACACGTCTTTATCCTTTTAATCACACATGCCCTCATCTGCGAGCACGTCTCAGCGGACAGGAGGATGCTTAGTCTGTTTACATGCTCCACAAAAGAGAGGTGGAGAGGATCTGCTTTCCGATACACCATCACTATCTGAAGATACGGATCAACAATTGTTGATGAAACAAAGATGCATATCTCATAAGGCATACATTTTGTTGGCTCAAACTATGTTTATCTTTTAGTTTCTTTAGGGGCAGAAGCTACGCTTTTCAGAAGTCTAATAATCTAGGTTACTTCCACCAAAAATGCTGTAATAATTTAATTTGTATATGATCACTTTCCCCTGCTGAGATTAGCTAATCTCTTTGTATGCGAAATGAAACAAAGTCCCACCAAGTTTCTGAATACTGAATTGAAGAATCTAATTTTCCAGGATAAATCTTCTTTAAGAGAATGCAAACTGAAAGTGTCATCATATTTGCTTTGTTTTGTATCAGGAGTTACACGTATATTGCTTGCGCTTTACTTTGGGAGTCAAATATGTAAATGAAGGATAATTCATCAAATGAGCTTCCTCTTGAGTACTGAGATTCGATATTGCAATGATAATGCTAGATCACATGTTAAGCTTACCACGGGGGCCACATATTTGATATACATGTTATGCATTTGCAT